TCCATGTTCAGTGTACCCCTTGTTGTTTTCTGTTATCCATGTTTAGTGTAGCCCTTGTTGTTTTCTGTTGTCCATGTTTAGTGTGACCCATGTTGTTTTCTGTTGTCCATGTTTAGTGTGGAGTTTTAAACAGGCATTAGATACAACAGTTACATGATGACTTTAACAAATTAAATTTGTTTGAAAATTCTTCTTTAATATTTAATCTTGATTACTTAAAAAATGTATCATAATTAAATAAAATGGATCTATTTCATGGCAGCACAGATCAGAGGTATCAGAGTGTCAGGGCCGTGGACAAGTTGAGATGTGTTGTGTAATCTAATACTTGTGTGTCACTATGACCTATCGATGTAGCAGGCTGACTGGGAGAGGGACTAGGGAATAACAGGCTAAGAGGGAATAGGGAATAACAGGCTAAGAGGGAATAGAGAATAACAGGCTAAGAGGGAATAGGGAATAACAGGCTGATAGGGAGAGGGACTAGGGTATTTCAGGCTAAGAGGGAATAGGGAATAACAGGCTGATAGGGAGAGGGAATAGGGAATAACAGGCTAAGAGGGAATAGGGAATAACAGGCTAAGAGGGAATAGGGAATAACAGGCTGATAGGGAGAGGGACTAGGGTATTTCAGGCTAAGAGGGAATAGGGAATAACAGGCTGATAGGGAGAGGGAATAGGGAATAAAAGGCTGATAGGGAGAGGGAATAGGGAATAAAAGGCTAAGAGGGAATGAGGAATAACAGGCTGATAGGGAGAGGGAATAGGGAATAAAAGGCTGATAGGGGTGGGAATAGGGAATAAAAGGTTAAGAGGGAATAGGGAATAACAGGCTGATAGGAAGAGGGAATAACAGGCTGATAGGGAGAGGGAATAACAGGCTGATAGGGAGAGGGAATAACAGGCTGATAGGAAGAGGGAATAACAGGCTGATAGGGAGAGGGAATAACAGGCTGATAGGGAGAGGGAATGAGGAATAACAGTCTTATTGTACTTAGGTTATAAAACAGCCATGTTTCTTTGGCATGGAGGTTTTTGATAATGTGTAAATGGTTTTATTTAAAGTGTATAAACCATGTGGAAGGGCACAGGGCTGTTTTGTGATGTGGGCGAGTGGTCACAAGGCTTCTCCAGGCTTGGAAATGTCACATAGCACTTAATCTTTACTTTAATCTTATTATTGTGATATTGATGGAATTAAATTTGTTATGATTGTTGAAGAAAATGTTTCGTGACCCTGAACTGCCAACAGGTGAATCATAGTGCACCAGATTTACACCAACTAGGGTGTGTGAATCAGGAGATAAACCGAATGTGTTTTGAAATTTGACATGGTCCCGCTGTAGAGTAGATACCTCTTTTAATTTGGAGCTGAGCACTTTAGCGCAAGGTTAAATAAGAGGTATCTGTTAGGGCTGGGACGGGTAACTCGGGTACTCGTGTCGGGTGGGTACTGAGTAGGACCCGGGTACCCACAGGACTACACGGAGCCGTGGTTAGTTACGTGATATATTGTTTAATGACAAAAAGTATCTTAAACTCTATGTTTAAACTACAAGTCACTAATGTTCACAGTTCTTCCTGACTACTTCTTCCTACTGCGCCCATTCCTTCTGACTTTTTTATGTTTGAATGAAAATAAAACTTCAGTCAACTTCAGTGTATACTCCAGATCCTTTAATACATGTATCTAAACACATCAGAACTACGGTCAAACTTTACCCAATCGGACAGTTTGTACCTACCTCTAGAGACTGACAGCGGGTACCCAGGTAGAGTCGGGTAATAGGGGTGGGGGGGGTGTGTGTGTGGGGTGTACCCGGGTAGTAAATCTGGACTCGTCCCAGCCCTAGTATCTGTATCTGAGTCAATAAGAGGTTCAATAGTTTTCAGTGAAACTTGGCATATGCATTGCTCATCAGCTGAACTTGTGCCTTTTGCTATTTTAAATGTTTTCCATATTATATATTTTACATTTCCATGGAAAGATTTTCAGCTTATTTTCAAAGGAGGGTAGGGTTCATTTCCGGGCCAGGGTTTGTTTCTGGGCCATAACTTGAAAACTGTTGAACATATTACAATGAAACTTTGCATATGCACTGCTCATCAGCTGAACTGGTGCCTTTTGTTATTTTAAATGTTTTCCATATTATATGTTTTACATTCCCATAAAACATTTGCAACTTAGTTTCCGAGCCATAACTTGAAAACCTTTCAACATTTTCAATTAAACTTGGCATATGCATTGCTCATCAGGTTTACTGGTACCTTTCGCTATTTTGAATGGAAAATCTTTGATCTCAAACAACTCCAGGTTTCATTTGCAAGTCCCTCCAAACACATAACTTATATATCATTGCCTTTTATAAAAGCTCCTATGCCTCAGCATGGCAGCAAATGCTTGCTGACTCGCTGACTTGGTTGATGCATGTCATCGATCCCAATTGCATGGATTGATGTTCATGATGTCAATCACTGGATTGTCTGGTCTAGACAAGATTATTTACAGACCGCCGTCATATAGCTGGGAAATTGCTGAGTGCGGCGTTAAACAACTGACGAACGAACAGACAAACTACAAGAAGATCTGCGGTGAAGATTTGCCCTGTGAAGATCCAGGGTAGAATAGGTGTTCAGCAACCCATGCTTGCCATAAAAAGCGATCAAATGTCATAAGAGGTGACTAACGGGATCGGGTGGTCAGGCTCACTGACTTGGTTGATGCATGTCATCGATCCCAATTGCATGGATCAATGCTCATAATATCAATCACTTGATTGTCTGGTCCAGAATAGATTAGGTACAGAGCGTCGTCATATAGCTGGAATATTGCTGAGTGCCGCGTTAAACAACAAACTAACCAACCAACTCACTCATAGTGTACAAAAATGATCAAATTCATCATCAATTTCAAAGACACAGACCAAAGTGTGATACAGCACCTTTGTACAAGACCTGTATAGTGTCATGTGGAGAAGTGATTCAGGAATACTGGAGCGTTGGGGTGTGGGCAGACACAGATTGTGTACAATGTAGAACGGTCTTGAGAGAATCAGCCTGGTGGCGTAAGTTACTGTGCCTATAAATGGAAGTAATGCGGAGCCAGCAGTGGAGACCCTGGAGAGATGGCTGTAGTATTCCTGGCACATGGCCACCCACTCCTCTCACAGCCAGGTCAGTAGAGCAGAGCAGGAGGTGGGTGTAGCTGGTGCTGTGTGTCGCCGGTGCTGTGTGTCGTTGCTGGAGCTGCTGGATCACTGGGTCATTGACAGTGTGACATACCATGCTGCAGTGACCAGCTGGCACTCAGTGTCAGGGCGAGATAGGGAGTCTCATCTTGACATACTGGATTAAACAGTGTCGGGTTGGCACATATATGATCAAATATTGACTGGCTGGACCTGTCTGATCAAATATTGGCTGTTTGGGATGTGAATGATCAAATATTGGCTAGTTGGGACATGCCTGTTCAAATATTAGTTGTTTGCGACGTGAATAATCAAATATTGACTGACTGGACATGATTGATCAAATATTGGCTTGTTGAGCCATATTTGATCAGCTATTGGTTGGTTGGGACATGCCTGATCATATATTGGCTGTTTGGGATGTGAATGATCAAATATTGGCTAGCTGGGACATGCCTGTTCAAATATTAGTTGTTTGCGACGTGAATAATCAAATATTGACTGACTGGACATGATTGATCAAATATTGGCTGGTTGAGCCATATTTGATCAGCTATTGGTTGGTTGGGACATGCCTGATCATATATTGGCTGCTTGGGACGTGAATGATCAAATATTGGCTTGTTCGGGCATATTTGAACAAATATTTTCTGGGTGGGACATGAATGATCAAATATGAGCTGCGTGAGACATGTGTGATCAAATATTGGCTCATTGGGACGTGAATGATCAAATATTGGCAGGTTGGGACATGATGATAAAAAATGAGCTGTGTGAGACATGTATGATCAAATATTGGCTCATTGGGAAATGAATGATCAAATAATGGCAGGTTGTGGCATGAATGATCAAATATTGGCTAGGTGGGACCAGAATAAGCAAATATTGGCTGTTTGGGACATGAATATTCAAATATTGGCTGTTTGAGACATGAATGATCAAATATCGGCTAGATGGGATGTGAATGATCAAATACCGGCTAGATGGGACATGAATGATCAAATATCGGCTAGATGGGATGTGAATGATCAAATATTGGTGGGTTGTGGCATGAATTATCAAATATTGACTGTTTGGGACATGAATGATCAAATATCGGCTAGATGGGATGTGAATGATCAAATATTGGTGGGTTGTGGCATGAATTATCAAATATTGACTGTTTGGGACATGAACGATCAAATATCGGCTAGATGGGATGTGAACGATCAAATATTGGCTAGATGGGACATAAATGATCAAATATTGGCAGGTTGTCTCATGAATGATCCAATATTGGCTAAATGGGACATGAATGATCAAATATTGGCTGGTAAGGGCATGAATAGTCAAATATTGGCTAGATGGGACATGAATGATCAAATATTGGCTGGTTGGGGCACGAATAATCAAATATTGGCTAGATGGGACATAAATGATCAAATATTGGCAGGTTATCTCATGAATGATCCAATTTTGGCTATATGGGACATGAATGAACAAATATTGGCTGGTTGTCTCATGAATGATCCAATATTGACTAAATGGGACATGAATGAACAAATATTGACTGTTTGGGACATGAATAATCAAATATTGGCTGTTTAGGACGTGAATGAGCAAATGTGGGCTGCTAAGACTTATTTGATCAAATGCTGCGGTGATATATATGATCAAATATTTGCAGTACCTTGACAGGTTGAGGTTTGCAAAGCCATGGATATCATATTTTCCTCGTCCAACTTCCCAACACTGCGTTATGTAGCTTCTAGCAGAATTTGAGTGAACATGTGAGTGTGATGTTTGTGACAGTTTTTTTCCTTTCTTTTCTAGGCATGGGTTTGGCGACTGTCGACGACCACTGCATGACACGGCTGTCCTTGTTGAAGAAATCGTACATGCTCAGATGGCTTCACTGGTGAGTAGCTGAGTATATTGGCAATAACAGGAGGTCATTAAGCAATTGCCAAAGGCTGGAAGACCTTAAATATCATGTGACCTCAGATGTCACAAAACACCATTATTATAATTCAGGGATGTGAGCAGGTTTTCCCGAAAAAAGAGGAAAAGTCTAGTTTTTTTAAACATTTGATTGCATTTTAAGCAATTTCGTGCAGTTTGGACAACATTCAAACCAAGAAATTAATAAGTCTATGGCAAATAAACAAAGATGGCGGATGCAGTAAAATTTCGAAGTTAAATCAGTACTTACTTTAAAAAAATCGGTCATAGCTTCCGCACACCCAGCTACCCGCCGGGTCTCGGAGCAATACTCCATAAACTTCAACCCCCCCATCCCATCCCCAAGACACAAGGACAACTGTCACAAACATGCAATGTCTGAATCTTTCCCCATGTCGAAGCATATTGAAAAAAACTTACCTTGTCGGCTACTTACTTACCTTTTGTTGAAAAAAACAAAACTCCATTGCAAACATAAGACATTAATACAACATATATCCCTGTGTTATGGGTTTTCGGACGCTGAAGAAACATTCATAGTTTTCTCACTCATCACATGAACAACTGTAAAACATCTAATTCACTTATAGGCTAAAAGACAACTTTATCTTAAAAACAAGCCATCATCGGAGTATTTACAATTTCTGTGTGACGCCACCCCCACGATATAGTGCAAGTATTCGTGATAGAAAATGTATGATGTCCGAAAACCTATGATGCTGAAGGGGGCACGGGTGGCCCAGTCGTCTAAGACGCTGCGATTCGTTGTGCAGAGTTGCGTCCCTTGGGCACGCCAGAAACCTAGGATTGTGGGTTCGAATCCCGGTTCGCCCCGATTATTGTCCCCCGCTGCGCGAAAGCGCGAAGCGGGGGATATAGTATTCACGACCGTCCGTCCGTACGTACGTCCGTCCGTACGTCCCACCTGTTTGTTGCCGCGATATCTCAAGAACTAAACACTGGATTGTCTTCATATTTGGAACTATGGTGTATATACAGACTCCGCAGACACCAGTCGGTTTTGGTGACCTTGACCCCATTTTCAAGGTCACAGCAGGCATATCTGCTTTTGGAGTTGGAAAACGGTGTTGCCGCGATATCTCAAGAACTAATCTCTGGATTGTCTTCCTATTTGGTACTAGGGTGTATATACGGACTCCGCAGCCACCAGTCGGTTTTGGTGACCTTGAGCCCATTTTCAAGGTCACAGCAGGTAAATCTGCTTTTGGAGTTGGAAAACGGTGTTGCCGCGATATCTCAAGAACTAATCGCAGGATTGTCTTAATATTTGGAAGTATGGTGTATATACAGACACCGCAGACACCAGTCAGTTTTGGTGACCTTGACCCTATTTTCAAGGTCACAGAAGGCAAAACTGCTTTTGGAGTTGGAAAACTGTGTTGCCGCGATATCTCAAGAACTAATCGCTGGATTGTCTTCATATTTGGTATTTTGGTGTATATACAGGCGGGGGACATTTCGTCACTTCTGTGACAAATACTTGTGTTTCTAGGTTTGTCAGCACCATACCCGTGCTCGTGGGTTTCACCGAAGTTGTAAACGTCTCAGACCTGCATCACTTCGGGCTTTCCTCCCACATTAAGCTGACACGACGTGATATAACTGGAGTATTGTTAAAAGTGGCATTAAACCCAACTCACTCACTCACTATGATGCTGAAAGCTCTGATCAAAAACAGGACAATCTGCGACGGTTGTCCGGTTTTCAATAATATTTTTCGGAGTGTTGTTTATAATCTTTGATTATTTTTTTACGCGGAAGATGATTTTTTCTGAGGACTACTGTTTTAAAAAACGCGATTTTCCGCGTTTTAGCGGAGATTTCACATCCGTGATAATTACCAACTGGATTTTTATGGAACATATCTTAAAAGATTCAAATAGTATCCTGCTTTACACCACGCAATGTCCAGTCTGAAGTTGGTTCCAGGCCCAGGGCCCGGTTCCACAAAGCAATCTTAGCTCTACGATCGCTTTGTGCAATGACGTGTCACTTGTCATAGTGTGGTCCTGTGCTAAGTGCTTGGTGTTGAAGGCACTGCAGAAGCTGTGTGTCATGGGGGACACCATTGGCCAAGTCATGTAAGGTGCAATCAAAGGAGGAGGGTGTGTTATATTAAAATTGAATATACATCGGGGATTCTTGGTAACTGATGCTTGATGCTTTGTTCGTCAGACTTTGTGACTTGGTTGATTGTGTGTCTTCGTACACCCGTGGTTAGGGACGTTGCTCATGATATTAATCTTTGATTTTTCTGGGCCAGACTTGTTTGTTTAATAATAATAATAATAGGTCAACTTATGTTGGCCAATATCCACACCACATCATGCTCAAAGCACTACACTATTATTGCCCCGGTCAATGGATCAGTATGCACTAAACCATCATTCTCAGCTCCCTCGGGAGTATACATCCCAAGCTGCCCCTGAGGTGCTGGAAGGTTAACAACCACATTGCCATCTCATCCTACTGGGTACCCATTTACTGCTGGGTGAACAGAAGCATGTTTTGAACAAAGTCACTTGTCCAAGGAGAGGCCACATGTGCTACATGTGCTTCAGTTTTGGGCAGGACCGGAGCCCTAGAAACTCTCAGGAGTCAAGCTGCTGAACGTGGTCGCCCATCCAAGGACTCTCCGCGACCATCATTGCTTAACTTCACCTACTGCCTCCGTGGTCTAGTGGTAGAGCGTCCGCCCAGAGAGCGGAAGGTCCGGGGCTAAATCCCTGGCCGCGTCATACCAAAAGACGTTTAAAGATGGTACTTGTTGTTACCCTGTCTGGCGCTCGGCATTAAAGGGCTAAAATAAGGACTGGTCGGCTCGGAGTCAGTATACTGTGTCTGAGTGGGGTATTCATGTTAAACTGCGGCATGGTATCTCAGTGGGCTAGCACTATAAATCGGCATCAGTCCGGACTAGTACAAGCAGCCACACACACACACACGTGCATGCACGTTGCTATATAAGTGCTGTAATCTTGGACGCGACATTAAACCCAATTTCACCTCACCTCACCTTAACTTCACCTGATTATGACCTGTGCACTGTGCTCAGGACCACATGCCGCCACGAGATGGCCATGAGATGGCTGGATTCCAGCTGACACTCTGATAACCGGATACTCAGTGTGTAATGTCTCAGTTAGTTTGTGCAGGTAATGCTTGAGCTGCATAAAAAGATGCAAATCCAGTGTTTCACCTGTAACAGGGAAACGAGATAGGAACGACAAAAAAGGGAGAAGGCAGATGTGATGAAGTGATGTCGTGAATACTTACATCAATAAACTAATGTTTGAAACACCAACTAACTGTAACATTTCCTGCACCCTAGGAATGTTTTTCAGATCTTGAACTCTCTCAGTCTTCACCTCTTGCACCTTTAACCTAACACCAGTAACCTCACAGCTGCAACTTGACACCAGTAACCTCACAGCTGTAACTTAACACCAGTAACCTCACAGCTGTAACTTGACACCAGTAACCTAACACCTGTAACCTAACACCTGTAACCTAACACCAGTAACCTCACAGCTGTAACTTGACACCAGTAACCTCACAGCTGTAACTTGACACCAGTAACCTCACAGCTGTAACTTGACACCAGTAACCTCACAGCTGTAACTTGACACCAGTAACCTCACAGCTGTAACCTAACACCTGTAACCTAACACCTGTAACCTCACAGCTGTAACTTGACACCAGTAACCTCACAGCTGTAACCTAACACCTGTAACCTAACACCAGTAACATCACAGCTGTAACTTGACACCTGTAACCTCACAGCTGTAACCTAACACCTGTAACCTCACAGCTGTAACTTGACACCAGTAACCTCACAGCTGTAACTTGTCACCAGTAACCTCACAGCTGTAACTTGACACCAGTAACCTCACAGCTGTAACTTGACACCAGTAACCTCACAGCTGTAACTTGTCACCTTTAACCTAACACCAGTAACCTCACAGCTGTAGCCTGACACCTGTAACCTCACAGCTGTGACCTGACACCTGTAGCCTGACACCTGTAACCTCACAGCTGTAACCTAACACCTGTAACCTCACAGCTGTAACTTGTCACCTTTAACCTAACACCAGTAACCTCACAGCTGTAGCCTGACACCTGTAACCTCACAGCTGTAACCTGACACCTGTAGCCTGACACTTGTAACCTCACAGCTGTAACTTGACACCCGTAACCTCACAGCTGTAACCTAACACCTGTAACCTAACACCTGTAGCCTGACACCTGTAACCTCACAGCTGTAACTTGACACCCGTAACCTCACAGCTGTAACCTAACACCTGTAACCTCACAGCTGTAATCTGACACCTGTAACCTCACAGCTGTAACTTGTCACCTATAACCTCACAGCTGTAACCTCACAGCTGTAACTTGTCACCAGTAACTTGACACCTGTAACTCGATACTAGTACCTTGACACCTGTTCACTCCTATAACCTGTCCACACCTGTAGCCTTTCCACTCATGTAACCTGTCTACACCTGTAACTTCTCCTCACCTGTAACCTGTCCACACCTGTAATCTGTCCACTCCTGTAACCTGTCCACACCTGTAACTTCTCACCTGTAACCTGTCCACATCTGTAATCTGTCCACTCATGTAACCTGTCTACACCTGTAACCTGTCTACACCTGTAAATTCTCCTCACCTGTAACCTGTCCACACCTGTAACTTCTCACCTGTAACCAGTCCACACCTGTAACCTCTCACACAAGTAACGACCCACACCTGACATTTAACAAATCGGTACATGATAGCATCAATACTAGTACCATTAACAAATATAAGAAAATAGGGTTCATATGAATCCTGATTTCTTTTCCAATTCTCTTTCCATGATTGCCTGACAGATTGTCTTGTTCCCTGTGTAGATGATGCAGGCGTCCGATGTTGCAGCTTCACGTAGTAGTCGCTTCATCGCCATGGAGGACTTCCTCTTCCTGCTACGCAAGGACAAGGTCAGTGCCACGAGCCATGAAGATCCGGGGTAGAAAAGATCTTCAGCAACCCATGCTTGTCCTCCGTGAAGATCCGGTTAGAATAGATCTTCAGCAAACCGTACTTGTCCCCCGTGAAGATCCAGGGTAGAATAGATCTTCAGCAACCCATGCTTGTCCTCCGTGAAGATCTGGGGTAGAAAAGATCTTCAGTAACCCATGCTTGTCCCCATGAAGATCCAGGGTAGAAAAGGGTCTTCAGCAACCCATGCTTGTCCCCATGAAGATCCAGGGTAGAATAGGTCTTCAGCAACCCATGCTTGTCCCCCGTGAAGATCCATGGTAGAATAGGTCTTCAGCAACCTATGCTTGTCCCCCGTGAAGATCCAGAGTAGAATAGGTCTTCAGCAACCCATGCTTGTCCCCATGAAGATCCAGGTAGAATAGGTCTTCAGCAATTCATGCTTGCCGTCAAAGGCGAATATGCTTGTCGTAAGAGGCAACAATGAGATCGGGTGGTCAGGCTCGCTGACTTGGTTTATGCATGTCATCGTATCCCAATTGGGGCGATTGATGCTTATGATGTCAATCACTGGATTGTCTGGTTAAGACTCAATTATTTACAGACCGCCATCATACAGCTGGAATATTGCTGAGTGCGGTGTTAAACAGCAAACAAAACAAATATGATGAACAGGTTTCTATATTCAGCCTTTCTCCCACCTACGCCGAAGACCCGGGTTCGATTCCCGACATGGGTACAATGTGTGAAGCCCATTTCTGGTGTCCCCCGCCGTGATATTGCTGGAATATTGCTAAAAGCGGCGTAAAATCAAACTCACTCACTCACCCTTTCTCCCACCTGAATATGATTCGGTCTAATCTGGAAACTAATAGAATAAAACAAAGGTCCGAGAGGTACTAAAAGTATGTGATCTATGCTACCAGTTGCTGGACCAGCCTCCTTGACTGTGTGGGTGAAGTCACTGACTTTGTGTGCTGACAATGAGGTGCCTTACTCTGAGAGTATGGGTTTGAATCCCGGGATGGACTCCACCCAAAACAGTCCTAGAATTTGTATTTTGCTAAGAAATTGTAATCCCAAATTTAACATCTGTTGGAAAGTGGTCAAAATTCATAACTAGTTTTAAGCTCTTGAGGTCAAGGTTGTTTACTCAGATTAAACTCTGCTCTCTACTGACAATGTTAATTGTTTTACACAGATAAAACTTTAATCAGATAAAACTCTGCCGTCTACTGACAATTTTGATTTTTTTCTCCTGTAAAACTCTGCTGTCTACTGATAATTGTTTCATTCAGATAAAACTCTGCCATCTACTGATGATTGTTTCATTCAGATAAAACTCTGTCGTCTCCTGATTATTGTTTCATTCAGATAAAACTCTGTCGTCTCCTGATAATTGTTTCATTCAGATAAAACTCTGTCGTCTCCTGATAATTGTTTCATTTAGATAAAACTCTGTTGTCTACTGATGATTGTTTTATTCAGATAAAACTCTGTCGTCTCCTGATAATTGTTTCATTTAGATAAAACTCTGTTGTCTACTGATGATTGTTTCATTTAGATAAAACTCTGCTGTCTACTGATAATTGTTTCATTCAGATAAAACTCTGTCGTCTCCTGATAATTGTTTCATTTAGATAAAACTCTGTTGTCTACTGATGATTGTTTTATTCAGATAAAACTCTGTCGTCTCCTGATAATTGTTTCATTTAGATAAAACTCTGTTGTCTACTGATGATTGTTTTATTCAGATAAAACTCCGCCGTCTACTGAAGTACATGGAGGTGAAAGACTTGAAGACCTCCACGCTGCGCAGTGGGGGGTTTGAGGACGAGGAGACGGCTGACTCAGGTGGGTGCAGCACATGAGACAGTCTATGAATTCTTGCAGTAGTTGACCCATAAATACCTTACACCTTACGAGTTGACTGTGTACAGTCATAATGGCTTCATGGAGGTCGATGTGACGTCACTTGCTGATTGTGTCATAATTGACTCTGCTTTCACTTTGAATTGAATTACTGTGGGTCATTAGTAAATAATGTCACACGAACATATTTCAACGGAATTGAGTTTCTGATCCTGATAATTAGAGAAGCTCGCCCAAGTTTCTTGTGATTTTTATATTTTTAAAACTCTGGTTGAGCTCTGAGTTTTTGAACATGTATGGTTGAGTGTTCACATATTCAAGCCCGGAGAGCGAAAGGTCCGGGGTTAATCCCCGGCCGCGTCATACCAAAAGACGTTAAAAGATGGTACTTGTTGTTACCCTGTCTGGCGCTCGGCATTAAGGGGCTAAAACAAGGACTGGTCGGCTCGGAGTCAGTATACTGTGTCTGAGTGGGGTATTCATGTTAAACTGCGGCATGGTATCTCAGTGGGCTAGCACTATAAATCGGCATCAGTCCGGACTAGTACAAGCAGAATCACAAACACATGCACATACATGCATGTCGCTATATACATGCAATAATCTTGGACGCGACGTTAAACCCACTTTCACCTCACCTCACATATTCAATATCAAAAGACACGAGGGTAAGATTCTATTTGTCATCCAAAATCGTTCTGACAACTTTTTCAGTTTGTGATCGGTACTCAGCAGTGTCCTGGGTGTAAAGGGTACAGCTAACCTGCTACAGTGGCAGAGAGATTAGTGATGTAATTTCATTGTGATGTCATTGTCGCTGATGATGTCACAATGGTCTGCGATGCCATTTGTTTGTAGTGATATCTCCCTGGAAAGATCCCTTGATCTCACTCAAGTGATATCTCTTGTAGAAGCCAGTTTTGGATGATAAATGTTTGTTGTATGTGTCAATGGCGTTTTGAGAATATTAACTTATGATTTTTTCTATTAATTTGAATAACCTTTTCTGTTTTAAAGATTTTTGTTATCTTTAGAATTGCACATGCTAAAACCATAGTTATATGTTCAAAATTTTATAAATCCTTTTTTTTCACTTTTCTTTATGTTGAATGTTAATTGGAAAAGTCTGCATTGCTTTTTTTTTATCAAATTATCTTAATCTCTTTTGTTTAATGCATTTAGCTAGATTAACCATACAATTATTGGTATTTCTATGTCTTTTTTTGTATGAGCAATTTCTAAAGCAAACATTGGCACTTAGTCATGTTCCCCAGTGGTTCAAGGGAGATAACTCTTGTTTTCAATGTGCTGAGTTTAATCAGTCTCATACCAAAACATTGTGAATATTTAATCAGGTATTGCTTGTTCTCTGTGATAATTGTTGTAGCTAACAATGTCGGACCACATGTCCTGTGTCGGGCATGGATGCTGCACGTGTAGCTCCACACACTGAACTTGAATAATTCAACTAATTACACATGGCTTTGATAATATTTGGTCTTGATTACAGCTGATAAAAGTCAGCCTGTGAGGAAACGGAGGAGGATCTGCTACGACTTCCTCGCCTCCATTGACAACACAGGTAAAGTGACTTTGTCAAATTTCTGGATTAAGTTGAACTTTTCATGATTTTGGAAAATACTGGATTCTGATTGGTCAATCAGGTTTCAAATCACAATAACAACCTCTGTTTGAAGCAGCTGACATGATGTCCACTTCACAGCAGAAGCTAATATGTATAGAAATGTATGTCTTTCGCAATCATTGTTTGCAGTGATGTAAAAGTTACAAGATGCTAAGTGTGTGTGTCAGTACATTTTGGGATTAAGACATGACAGAAATCAATAAAGAAAGTTCTTTTAAAGTATTACCATCAGGAATGTCAGAAAGCTTAAGATTTTGTCTTTCCTATTTCCTACTGTGATATCCTTTGCATCACAATAAGCACTGTGATGTTTCTTGTGATATGCAATTTTATTAATACGCCCTGCAAGGCTAAAGCTTCATTTGGTGAGGTGGGGGCACGGGTGGCCCAGTTGTCTAAGGTGTCGCAATTCACTGTGCAGAGTTGCGTTCATTGGGCACGCCAGAAACCTATGATTGTGGGTTCGAATCCCGGTTGGCCCCGATTATGTTTCTATGTTTTGTCAGCACCTAATCCGTGCATGTGGGTTTCACCGAAGTGGTAAACGTCTAAGACCTGCATCACTTCGGGCTTTCCTCCCACATCAAGCTGACACGCGGTGATATAACTGGAATATTGCTAAAAGCGGCGTTGAAACCAAATCACTCACTCATTTAGCTGATGAAGATCGTACCTGTGCCACACACTTTCATTGTCTTTCATGTATGCATATAACCATTGTTTGAGTATACACAGTGCTATACTTTGTTGGAAGGTTATAACTGTTGGTATACTATTTTAATGACGTAGAACACATCAGGGTTACATACAAAAGTAAGAATGTGTGCAGTTATAATGGAAAAGGATTACTCTCGTAACAATAACCAGTGTTTCCTTATTGTCAATCAATAGCCCGCTCAAAACACAGAAGTCGTGGCCTCCCCGTGGGGTCCCCTTGTCTCCACACACACACACGGCTTCAATGAATATCTTCCCTCCTACAGATACGTCCCCTCACTTCCTAAATAAACAATACCAGGGCTGACTTGGTACTCGCTGCTACGTGTTGGTTGTAGGAACAATCTCATTACAGGCCTCAAAGTTGCAACTAAAACGCTCGCCAATTCGACCTCAATTTCAATTTGTCTACTGTTTGAACTTCAGAGGGAGCTAAATGGCTACCTTGTTATTTAAGTATTGTATTTCAGTTGACAATGCTCATTGGATAAGAAAGGATATACCTAAATAATCTAGTAACATAAATTGCATCATTGTTTGAGTCACAATAAACAAAAGTACAGTTTCCACTAATAAACGAATTCAAGACTAGTGCTATGACTTGTACATAATTATAGTTATTTTATAAAAGATAATTTCAAATGCTTTTGGCTACCTACAATATTAGCTTGACTTCTTGATTTTACCACTGGCTACCAGGAAAAAAAGGAACTTTGAGGCCTGTCATTGTAACCAGATCTTATGCTCCCACACAATACCTCGTTCCATGAAGTTCTGAGGACACTTCCATAAAAGGTCGCATTGGGTGAACCCTTAGCAGCCTTTGACTTTCCGTTCTGTACAAAGGATGTGTGGGATCTTTAGCCAATCAGATGTCAGCTTTCTAAAATGATTCAGCTTCATGTATTTTCTACCTTGATTCAGAAGTTTTGATTTTAATATCCCCTCCTTTCTACACCCTTTTGAATGTAGATGCCTTGCAACTCAGAAACAATGAAATGTATTACTTGACCACAACAATATTGCAGCTTTCGTATTTGGAACTACCTATTAATATTTGTTTTTGAGCTACAGAAATCAGATATGCTTGTCTGAATACTTCACTCACTCGTAGGGATAATTTAGAAGCCTTGAGGCTGATTGGCTGACTACAAAGTTCACCTGGTGTATTCCTGTGCAGGTGATCTCAGATCTTCACGCAGAAAAGTATATAATTTTGGAGTAACAAATTTGATTTTATTGAGATTGGTTGTTAGAGCCAACAAATGAGAATATCTTGCTTCCACTGTAATGAGTGAGTGAGTGAGTATGGTTTTATGCTGCTTTTAGCAATATTCCAGCAATATCACGGCTGGGGACACCAAAAATGGCCTTCACACATTGTACCCATGTCGGGAATCGAACCCGGGTCTTCGGAGTGACGAGCGAACGCTTTAACCACTGGGCTACCCGACCGCCCCGGCTTCCATTGTAACTAAGGATGTGTGTGCACCTTGACAACTTCGTTGGTTGCTCATGAAATCAGGCTCTGTTTCCCGGGTGATTATTTACCCAGTGATAGAGCAGGAATATCTGTGGCAGCCTTGTAAAACAATATTCGTGCACGTCCTTCGTGTAAAGATTTCTGTTAATGCCTCATCGATCATTGCTTCAAGCAACGTTTGACCTGACCTACTGTAACATGACATGCCTCTAGAATTGTAGGCACTCACTCACTGTTGCGCAGTGGAACTGAATATTTGAGAGTGGTTTAACTTAAATGAAAACTAATCTTAAATTTCTATGACTTACCTTTTTTGAATGAAACAAGGAACTAAACGTGATAACCTATTAAAAAAATATGAAAATCTATAAGGAACTGAACGTGATTACCTGTTATTATGTGAAGCTCTGGGTGCGTTTTGGAGCACATTTTTTATGAACAAACATGTCTTGAGAACACTGAGCTTAGCTTAATTTTGTAACATTCGTTGTGTTTCTGATTGAAGCTCCTGGGTTTCACCAAAGTGTTCAATGTCGCCAGCATGTCAGGCCTTCCTCTCACATGAAGGGACCGGGGGCTACTGGGGTCCCCCAACTGAGCTTGGTGTGTGTGTGTTTCAGGAGAGTTACTGGCCCTGTTTGACGAGGAAGGAGTGGACGAGATTAAACACGAGAGGCTGATGGTCAGTAATCTCAGTGCATTATGTTCACACGTGAACCTATTTTGTTGTAATATTTGTTGGGGTTACGGGTGGCCCAGTCGTCTAAGGCGCCGCAATACTCTGTGCAGAGTTGCGTCCCTTGGGCATGCCAGAAACCTATGATTGTGGGTTCGAAACCCGGTTATTATCCCCCGCCGCGCGAAAGCGCGAAGCGGGGGATATAGTATTCACGACCGTCCGTCCGTCCGTCCGTCCGTCCGTACGTCCCACCTGTTTGTTGCCGCGATATCTCAAGAACTAAACACTGGATTGTCTTCATATTTGGAACTATGGTGTATATACAGACTCCGCAGACACCAGTCGGTTTTGGTGACCTTGACCCCATTTTCAAGGTCACAGCAGGCATATCTGCTTTTGGAGTTGGAAAACGGTGTTGCCGCGATATCTCAAGAACTAAACACTGGATTGTCTTCATATTTGGAACTATGGTGTATATACAGACTCCGCAGACACCAGTCGGTTTTGGTGACCTTAATCCCATTTTCAAGGTCACAGCAGACAAATCTGCTTTTGGAGTTGGAAAACGGTGTTGCCGCGATATCTCAAGAACTAAACACTGGATTGTCTTCATATTTGGAACTATGGTGTAAATACAGACTCCGCAGACACCAGTCGGTTTTGGTGACCTTGATCCCATTTTCAAGGTCACAGCAGACAAATCTGCTTTTAGAGTTGGAAAACGGTGTTGCCGCGATATCTCAAGAACTAAACACTGGATTGTCTTCATATTTGGAACTATGGTGTATATACAGAATCCGCAGACACAAGTCGGTTTTGGTGACCTTGATCCCATTTTAAAGGTCACAGCAGGCAAATCTGCTTTTGGAGTTGGAAAACGGTGTTGCCGCGATATCTCAAGAACTAAACACTGGATTGTCTTCATATTTGGAACTATGGTGTATATACAGACACCGCAGACACCAGTCGGTTTTGGTGACCTTAATCCCATTTTCAAGGTCACAGCAGACAAATCTGCTTTTGGAGTTGGAAAACGGTGTTGCCGCGATATCTCAAGAACTAAACACTGGATTGTCTTCATATTTGGAACTATGGTGTATATACAGACACCGCAGACACCAGTCGGTTTTGGTGACCTTGACCCCATTGTCAAGGTCACAGCAGGCAAATCTGCTTTTGGAGTTGGAAAACGGTGTTGCCACAATATCTCAAGAACTAATCGCTGGATTGTCTTCATATTTGGTACTATGGTGTACAGGCGGGGGATATTTCGTCACTCTGTGACAAATACTTGTGTTTCTAGGTTTGTCAGCACCATACCCGTGCTCGTGGGTTTCACCAAAGTGATAAACATCTAAGACCTGCATCACTTGGGGCTTTCCTCCCACATTGAGCTGACACGCCATGATATAACTGGAATACTGTTAAAAGCAGCATTAAACCCAACACACTCACTCACTCCAAGACCGTTACTGATGACAAGTCACTGCACATGTTCAGTAGGCTGAAGCTACTTATAGATAGGGATCTCAGTAAGTTAAGATAAGATATATGGATGAACAAGTTCTTTATTACAATTAGGAGAGATGTTTCAGTGAAGGTTCTAACACTGTATTAAGCAAGTGATGACGGTGTTAGAAACGTCACTCCTAACTGTAATAAAGAAGTTGTTCCTCCATATATCTTATCCTTACTTAGTACTCCAACTTCTGATGCATATCAAAGAAGGGGATCTCAATGTTGTGGGTCAAGAAAAGGAACCATAAACAGTGTACTCAGTGTATGTAGAATCGAAGTATGTAAAATGCAAACTACCCTGTTAATGATTAAGACAGTAAAACTTTTTTGCATCCCCAGAACTCTCAATGTAAATTATTTGCATCCATTCTCAATTTGTATGTGAAGGATGCAGCATTATGCATCCAGTAAAACCCTGCTTGTCTGAAGTCTGGTGTTGATTCCGGGGCAGAATAGGTTCCGGTGCTTCGGATAGACTGTGTGATGTAACAATTTTTGGTTGAGTCATTTTCGGTATTTAAACCCACACTGACATTAAGGCACCCAATTGCCAGCACACAAAGTCAGCAATCTAACCCTCTCAACCACCGAGGCTTCCACAAAAAATGAAAGTCAGACAAGTGGTTGTCTAGATCACATACTTTGTGTACCCCTCTGACAAGTGTAAATAGGCACGGCTCCCATGGCTGAAAGCTTTGAACACACAATGCCATTTAGAAAGTTGTCAAATGTAACAAATGTTATATGTTTATGTGATGTTTTAGCTGTTTTTCATATATTACAGCGTGCTGAGGTGCAGACTCGTAGCATGACCCCACAGCAGTACACAGAGTACTGTCAGGCTCGACAGAGCAGCTTCAGTAAGTATTCCGGGTTAGAAAAGGCCCCTGCAACATCGAGGATCTACATGGATTGGGTGGTCAGGCTCAGTGACTTAGTGGATTGGGTGTCCTCATATCCCAGCATCAAACACTGCTCATCTATATCTGTTCCATCGGTACTCACACATGGTCGTAGTAGACACTGGCAGTGGGGTAGCCTAGTGGTTAAAGTGTTGGCTAATTATCTGGGTTCTGTTCCCACATGGGTACAATATGTGAAGCTCATTTTGGTATCCCCTGCTTGATATGGCTGTACTATTGCTAAAAGCAGCGTAAAACTATACTCCAGATAACACTGCCTACTGGGATATCATCACCTTGTGTGTAATATTGTTAGAAACTCAGCTTTTACCTGATAAGGAATAAATTTCAAATATGATATGGATTGGGCAGTCACTGTGTAACAGTGTGTTTGACTGGACTGTCACAGTGTACAACAGTGTGTTTGACTGGACTGTCACAGTGTACAACAGTGTGTTTGACTGGACTGTCACTATGTACAACAGAGTGTTTGACTAGACTGTCAATATGTACAACTGTGAGTTTGACTAGAATGTTACAATGTATAACTGCGTGTTTGACTGGATTCACTATGTACAACAGTGTGTTTGACTGTCACTATGTATAACAGTGTGCAGGAGTTGTTTGTCTGTACACAGGTCGGAAGTACAAGAGCCAGAGATTCAAGGACTGGGTCATGGCGGGAGTCACCATCGACGTGAAGCCGAACCTACAGGCCTGGGAGGTGATCAGCTACCTCGCCTACGAGACAGTCGCTCAGGTAATCATGTCACATGAGACAGTCGCTCAGGTAATCATGTCACATGAGACAGTCGCTCAGGTAATCATGCAACAAGGGAGGACGACAGAAACTAAGTTGCTGACAAAGCTTCATAATTAGGGTGATTCTGGGATTCGAAACCACAATCCGTATATCCTGGCATGACCAAGGGAAGTAACTCTCCACTTCCACAACTGTCTCTTGAGACCACTGGGCCACCACATTATCAGGAAATCCTGCTCAGATTAAACTCTCAAACACTGTGGTGCCACCAATATGACTCAAGCCCTATAATCACAGAAGTTGCTGTGTTTCAGATCGTTGACCTGGCTCTGATTGTTAAGCAGGACATGAGGGCAACAACCTCAGACCCGATGTCAAAGAACCAGCCCAACCTCTGCCTCAACTACCATGATGCTGTGCCCATGTCCTCCATCATCGGCAGCAACAAGATGTCCCTCATGGCGTCACCTACCAGGGTACACAAACTTAGTTTAACTGTGGGTGACCTTGGATGGCTTGAGAGCAGATACACCGATCAGGGAACACAAACTTAGTTTAACTGTGGGTGACCTTGGATGGCTTGAGAGCAGATACACCGGACAGGGAACACAAACTTAGTTTAACTGTGGGTGACCTTGAATGGCTTGAGAGCAGATACACCGGACAGGGAGCACAAACTTAGTTTAACTGTGGGTGACCTTGAATGGCTTGAGAGCAGAGACACTGGACAGGGAACACAAACTTAGTTTACTGTGGCCTTGGATGGCTTGAGAGCAGACACACCGGACAGGTAACACAAACTTAGTTTAACTGTGGGTGACCTTGAATGGCTTGAGAGCAGATACACCGGACAGGGAACACAAACTTAGTTTAACTGTGGGTGACCTTGGATGGCTTGAGAGCAGACACACCGGACAGGGAGCACAAACTTAGTTTAACTGTGGGTGACCTTGGATGGCTTGAGAGCAGATACACCGGACAGGGTACACAAACTTAGTTTAACTGTGGGTGGCCTTGAATGGCTTGAGAGCAGATACACCGGACAGGGAACACAAACTTAGTTTAACTGTGGGTGACCTTGAATGGCTTGAGAGCAGATACACCGGACAGGGAGCACAAACTTAGTTTAACTGTGGGTGACCTTGAATGGCTTGAGAGCAGATACACCGGACAGGGAACACAAACTTAGTTTACTGTGGCCTTGGATGGCTTGAGAGCAGATACACCGGACAGGGAACACAAACTTAGTTTACTGTGGCCTTGGATGGCTTGAGAGCAGATACACCGGACAGGGAACACAAACTTAGTTTAACTGTGGGTGGCCTTGGATGGCTTGAGAGCAGATACACCGGACAGGGTACACAAACTTAGTTTAACTGTGGGTGGCCTTGAATGGCTTGAGAGCAGATACACCGGACAGGGAACACAAACTTAGTTTAACTGTGGGTGACCTTGAATGGCTTGAGAGCAGAGACACTGGACAGGGAACACAAACTTAGTTTACTGTGGCCTTGGATGGCTTGAGAGCAGACACACCGGACAGGGTACACAAACTTAGTTTAACTGTGGGTGACCTTGGATGGCTTGAGAGCAGATACACCGGACAGGGTACACAAACTTAGTTTAACTGTGGGTGACCTTGGATGGCTTGAGAGCAGACACACCGGACAGGGAGCACAAACTTAGTTTAACTGTGGGTGACCTTGGATGGCTTGAGAGCAGATACACCGGACAGGGTACACAAACTTAGTTTAACTGTGGGTGACCTTGGATGGCTTGAGAGCAGATACACCGGACAGGGAGCACAAACTTAGTTTAACTGTGGGTGACCTTGAATGGCTTGAGAGCAGATACACCGGACAGGGAACACAAACTTAGTTTAACTGTGGGTGACCTTGAATGGCTTGAGAGCAGATACACCGGACAGGGAACACAAACTTAGTTTAACTGTGGGTGGCCTTGAATGGCTTGAGAGCAGATACACCGGACAGGGTACACAAACTTAGTTTAACTGTGGGTGGCCTTGAATGGCTTGAGAGCAGATACACCGGACAGGGAACACAAACTTAGTTTAACTGTGGGTGACCTTGAATGGCTTGAGAGCAGATACACCGGACAGGGTACACAAACTTAGTTTACTGTGGCCTTGAATGGCTTGAGAGCAGAGACACCGGACAGGGAACACAAACTTAGTTTACTGTGGCCTTGGATGGCTTGAGAGCAGACACACCGGACAGGGTACACAAACTTAGTTTAACTGTGGGTGACCTTGGATGGCTTGAGAGCAGATACACCGGACAGGGAACACAAACTTAGTTTAACTGTGGCTGACCTTGGATGGCTTGAGAGCAGATACACCGGACAGGGTACACAAACTTAGTTTAACTGTGGGTGACCTTGGATGGCTTTAAGCCCAAGGTGGTATCAGGTTATTACAAATTTTGTATATATTACTTTTAAGAAATCAATACAGAGTTGAATCATGAATCGATGAATAAATAGGTGTATAATATCGTGTGTAACTTCATAATGAAACAATATATCAGTGGACTTTGACACCTGTACTAATTACATTGATCTTTAATATATCGGCTATATTTTCAGTCAAGCCCTCCCTCCACCCCCACGACACCATCAGTTCCAGGGTCAACTTCAGCCCCGACCTTGACCTTGCCCCAGGGGTCAGGAGGTAGCAGCTCAAGTTCATCCAAATCTAAATCTAAGAAACGGAAGAAGGTGAGTGCTGTGCTAGGATGTGTACCCTGTGAACTGAGACAGTTGGCTACATCCGCATCTCCCACATCCCCAAGGACCCGTCAACCGCCTCTGTGGTCTAGTGGTAGAGCGTCCGCCCAGAGAGCGGAAGGTCCGGGGTTCAATCCCCGGCCGCGTCATACAAAAGACGGTACTTGTTGTTACCCTGTCTGGCGCTCGGCATTAAAGGGCTACAACAAGGAATGGTCAGTTTGGAGTCAGTATACTCTGTCGGAGTGGGGTATTCATGTTAAACTGCGGCAAGGTATCTCAGTGGGCTAGCACTATAAATCTGCATCAGTCCGGACTAGTACAAGCAGCCACACACACACACGCGTCACTATATAAGTGCAATAATCTTGGACACGACGTTAAACCCCATTTTCACCTCACCTTACCCAAGGACCTGTGAAGATCCTTCATCAAACCATGCTTGCCATGAAAGGTGACTATGCTTGTTGTAAGAGGTGATTTAATTGATCAGGTTGTAAGAGGTGACTTAGTTGATCGGGTGTCAGGCTCACTGACTTAATTGATGCATGTCATCGTATCCAAATTGCGTAGATCGATGCTCATGATGTCAATCACTGGATTGTCTCATCCAGACTTGATTATTTCAAGACTGCTGGAATATTGCTGAGTGCAGCGTTAGACAACAAACAAAACATCCCAAAGGTCAACAAGTAAAGGTTGCTTTTCTAACCCAGACGCCTCACAGGGCCATTAGAGCAACACAACATGTTAGATGCAGTAAGTATTGATTAGATTGGTAAGGATTAGATACATGTACATACAAATGTACCTTCAGAGCTGACCAGTGAAGATCCGGGGTAGAATGTCTTCAGCAACTCATGCTTGCTGTAAAAGGCGATTATGCTTGTCGTAAATGTGACTAACGGGATCGGGTGGTCAGGCTCACTGACTTGGTTGATACATGTCATCGTATCCCAAATGCCTGGATCGATGCTCATGATATCAATCACTGGATTGTCTGGTCCAGACTCAATTATTTACAGAATGCTGTCATATAGCTGGAATATTGCTGAGTGCGGCGTTAAACAACAAACCAACATTCAGAGCTAACCATGCCTTAGAAACTGAAATTGGTATTATCATGTTTTACAAAATCCTACATGCTGACCTTGACCTCTGACTAATTTTGACCGAAACCTTTTGAAAGTGGCCCCATCTTACAGAAGCTAACTTCATTTTTTAGGTGAATATTTTCATGGCCCTGACCTTTTCTTGACGTGCCAAAATATTTCCCAAGGTATGAAAGATGTCCATGGAAGGAAACGGTGTATGTTAACCTTTGCAACGAAGCTTTGAGAAATTATCAGTTCAGTGACAGTATTTGCTGAGTATTGCTTACTGCATCATAAAACACCGCCCACTCAATCAGTCATACAGGTCTGTAGAAAATTTGATGGTCATTTTTGTTTGTTGCTGCACTCAGCAATATTTCAGCTATATGACGGCGGTCTGTAAATAATCGAGTCTGTATTAACCATGTCAGCGAGCCTGACCACCTGATCCCGTTAGTCGCCTCTTACAACAAGCATAGTCACCTTTTACGGCAAGCTGGGGATGCTGAAGACCTATTCTATCCCAGATCTTCACGGATTTGGATCATGAGAGACAGTTCAGTGATACCCCAGTGACACCCCAGTGACCCCTTGACCGTGTTTCAGAGTGGCCCTGCTAACTTGATGGAGATGTCACACAACCAAGCCATCCTGCCCTGCGATGTCCGGGAGGCGATGCGCAGATACAGTCAGAGTATTGGATTCCTGGCCTCACAGACGGTCAGTTGCAGATACTCCTGCCATTGAATAGTTTAATCATCTCATAACCACTTGGTAAAATAAGGTTGTCTTGGTTTTACTCAACTAGAGAAAATCATTAATTGCCATAAATATGATCAATCTCTCTTTCCAGAAAGTCAACCCAAGCCTGCCTCCGAAGATGCGACTGCTATGCACTTGAGAAAAGCTACCTGGGAAGTCTGTTACATATGACGTCTGCTGCTTGGGACGTCCGTTACATATGATGTCCGTTGCATATGATGTCTGCTGCTTGGGACGTCTGTTACATATGACGTCTGCTGCTTGGGATGTCTGTTACATATGTCTGCTGCAACATTTGTTACTGATGACGTCTGCTTTGAACTTCTATTGCTAGGATCATGGGCCAGCTGGATCAACTGGACTGATATATGAACATGTCTTGCTTGTGAATCATGATTGCAGGAAGGAGATTGACTGAGACAGATGCCACAGAACTTTTCATTCATGCTATCACTTAGAACAGTTAGTCAGCAGGGATGCTTGTTGATAACACTGTTTCCAACCATACTCAGGCGCCTACTACTTCCATCAAGTCAGTTCTGTATTTCTTCATCACCAAAGTGCAATACTAAGCAAGTTTTACAAACAAATAAGATGAACATTCACATATGAACTTGCTGCTACATGGTCACTTGTGTTGCAAGAATGTGTATGTCGCGTCTGCAACAAGCCTTTCTCGTACTTATCAATGTACTGCCAGTGTCAGATAAGTTTAATAAAACACACCCTCCATCATATTTGTTTTCAATGTCAAGATATCAGTACACAGCTGTTCCATGTAGATGTTTTTTTCTACAATTATTGCTTCCGTGAAGGAACCAAGACTGAAGCAAGGACCCTACCTCCACCCCAACAGATGAACACAAAGACAAGTCCAAATATTTTCTGTTTTATTTACATGTAGTGAAAAATGGCACATCTAACAACTTGTGCTATAAGTTGTACAAGTTACTTTCACTGGGTAGGAAAATATTAACAACTAAAGTTTGAAACCAAAATCCACTGTTTCAGACCATCCATGATGTCCGTTACTGTAAGAGACATAGAAAGTTCAAATCATTGTGATGCCCATAAATAATAAGCTTGCTCCAATGGTTTCCTTTACCCCTGACCTGGTTGGTGTCAAACACTATCTGCTGGTTGATGCGTAGTCGTGTTGATGGGCACGACAAGGCCGTGGAGCATTGTCCCTCTGTTTCTTGACATTGTGGTCAATGTTACGAGAGTCTCTGTCGAATGAGGGAAGTCCTTGACTGGCAGAGTGATATGCATCATACACATTGGACTAGCAGGCTATTTATCAATTCGTTTTGTCAAATGTGATATGCCCCCCCCCCTTGTCTTAACAATCACCACGCTCGCATAAATCTGTACCTACAATGTATAACTATAGGTGCTGGAGGAAGTAGGAAGAACCCCAATAAACCACCAGGTAGACTGAGCACCGACATTGCTGGCAGCGCTTCAAGCACCAGGATCCTGTGTTAACCCCCAGGAAGGGGAATCCCCGCAGTGGCAGAATGTTTCGTTTTGGGGCGATAACTTTAACTGTTACGTTGACTTTCTTTGCCCTTTAAACCAACAAGCATCGGTATGTTTGGACACATCTTGAATATGTTTGACTAAACAATCCCTTAAGACTGGAAACAAATAAATATACAGACATGTATGAAATAATTAACTGAAATGATTTGACAGCAACTTGATGCAGAAAACAAACTAACATATCACATGAACACAACAGCTAAAGAACTACCAGGAATGCTAGAAAAATGCCTTCAGAATCTCTTCTCCAAATACCAATACACGCCTGCCGACCTTGCTTTGATCAATGTTACCATTAGTATATTCTAGTTGCAATATACCGGAGATAATATTGCACCAACAAGGAAATTTTGTTTTCGAGAGTCCAATGAGAGAAATCTGAAAAAGAATTTAGAAGTATGCAATTTAAAATTATAGCTTTCTTTCAAAGAAAGGAGCATGTGCACGCACACACGCACGCACGCACGCACGCACGCACGCACGCACACACACCCACACTTTGGCTGTTTATCATAATTGCTCCTGTAAACATGTTTTGAGAATGATCACAACGTCAAATTCAGGCGGCTACACACAGTAGATTCTGGTTCAGGGATTTTTCTGGTATTTCCGACAGTAATTTAGACAGGAGACCCTTGGGAACTAAAAATACAGACAATACAAAAACAACACTTGGCCTTCTTGAATAAATTAGGTTGAAGAAACGTCACATGTTCGAACACTATCTAAACACACTCATAAATCTCCATACCACTGCCGACACTGACGAGAACACTCAATCTACAGTGAAGTTAAAAGTAGATTCAGTTTGACAAACACAATTACAGGTGCATTTCTTGTAGCTCACCAGGTGAGGGTGTACTGGTGCCATATTAAAGTCAGATAACTGCAAGCTTGTGACTTCTCTAACAGTTAAATACAATCACATGTAAAATATCAAAATCATTGAACAGTCCTGTTTCGGTTTTTGCTTTACAATAACCACGTTTAAGTTTTGCTTCAATTATTATTTAAATTAACATCAAATTGTAGTTTTAAAATTTTGTCTCCTGCATCTTTGCCAAGAGAATCTGTAAAATAAGAAAATAATTTGATTTATCAGAACACTAGAACATAAACTGAGATCGTACAGATTCGACTTAAAAGGACGTATATAAAAAATAAATGCAATCACAGCTGAGAGGACTTAAGCTGTCATTTTCTCGTCATAAAGCTGTAGTAATGCCTCCATTTCTACTACATATGCTTGACAAATATTATTCAGGTCGTTGGTGACATTCAGTGTTGCAGCAGTATATACAGTGATTCACAAGCCATGGGAGGCAAGCCAGACATAAATGCAGTAACCATGGTAACTGCGTAAGAAGATGAAACTTCGCAACTGGAAGTTTTGAAAGTGTAATAAAATGAATCACTACAAATTTATACCTTAGACATGTTGAGGAGGTGTATAGATGTTGGTGCCTTTTGTGAAACTGAGACAGCTCTGTACAACGGAATTATTAACAGCAACTACTGATTCTGTTTCACTCTGAGACACCAAACAAAAAACGGCAGGTTCTCAATGACTTGGAACAAACTTGCTTGGACTGCCACTTTGTCAGCACCCAGTCCCTATTAGGAGACGAACAGAACAGAGTGTTGAGGCTGTTCACAAGATGTTTTTGTTTTATATCCTACTCATTAAATGTCAAAGAACACCCGATGATTTTCATATTACTAGAGGTAATCCGTCGAGACAGATGAACTATAGTGATATGAAAGAATCTGGCGTTTCTTTAACTTCTTTTGAGTAGTATATATTCCACAAAATAATGTAGGATATTTTTTTTTTACGGTTTCTGAATTTTAGAATCATTTCTCTTTATTCTGAATTTATACTGTCAAGGGGAGGTAACTGATACCTGGTATATTCAGGTGTGTTTTTCCAAACAAACAAAATAAATAGAAGAATTGGTTCTCAGGCAATGGCTTTTGAAAATATAGTGTGAGCTGGTGGTGGGTGGTTTTTTTCAAACTAGTAAGTAATCAATTAATCGTTGTGTAACCAAATAAACAGTCGTGTACAATCAACCTGGGAAAGGGCCTCCCTACATAAATGTATTCCTTGAGTAAAATACTGGAATACAGTATTTGACTACCGTTAGACTTGGAATATTTAAGTTGTTTTATTTTAAATTTAAAAGGAAATAAAAATGAAACATTAGGGGTGGTGACTGAGAACCAAGACTATTATTTTTTTTAGCCTTTGTTAGTTTGTTTTTCTTATGCAACAGAACAACATGACTTGAACAAATAAACAAACAAACAAATAAATAAATAAATAAATAGATACAGAACAGGATCAACATTAAGAGAGCACTGGTGCACACAGCAAGGACGAGAAGTCTTTGACTAGAAAAAGACATTGAAAACAGCACAATGGTTGATGACATGTACATGCAAAGATCACCACTAACTGATTACTTGTTCGTTGGTTCTGCTGCCTGGATTTTGTAAAGAAAAGACAACCGTCAAGAATGATAGTTTTTGTGAACGAAAATGAAGACGTATGTGACCAAATCTCTATCATGGCGTATAAGAACCTTCATGTTTGACGACAGACAAATCTTTATGCTGTCATTTTTCAAAAGAAATTGAACTGTCAGTTCCATATGCTTGATGACAAATTTGACGAACAACTAATTAATCTTTTGTGGTTTAAAGATGTGATGACGATGGAACTGTCATGGCTGGCACAAGCAATCTTACAATTCAAGTAAAACAATTATGAATCTGTATAAATAGTTTATGTCGTATATCTATAGGTATCAATTCTAAAAGAATCTAAAAGGATGTATCAGTGAGTAAAAAAACTAGTTAATTTGATCATGTCCTTGATCACACTAGTAAAACCATTGAGGAAACACATGGCGCACAATGACAAAATGGGAAATGTTATACACAAAGAAATATGACAATATATCTTGTATCTTTGATGCTATATATCATTATATAACAGTTCATCTATATACTTCCATTAACAATGACACTTAAGTTTCATGAAAATTCCTCTAATGATTATCATGTTGTGCACAGTAAAACCTCGTTAAACTGGACACCCGTCCTTCTGGACGATTACCATTGGTAATTTGACCTATAGCTATGTCGACTGATTAATTTCAGGAACTGATAATCCACCAAACTGTTTATCATGATGATTTCAATTAGTGCAATTTAGTGGAGATTAATGGAGTGTCATGGCCATTTTAATGGTAATCTTTGGCGATAAATGTCAGGTAATTAAAGCACTGGAGAACAAACCCAATATTAATATAAACATGTTTCAGGTTTGTCAATTATACCTTCATAGGTTACAGAGCACTGTGAAACCTCATAAATGCCAAGTACTCCGCACAATATATAATATTTATTATATATATGGCCAGCTATCTGTACAAGCCGAGTGAAACGTTTGACAATCGTGGCCACACTAGATATGCTAGAACATCGTGGTGACACGTGTGAGTTTGATTTTACGCCGCTTTTAGCCATATTCCAGCAATATCACAGCAAGGGACACCAGAAATGGGCTTCACACATTGTACCTAAGTCGGGAATCGAACCCGGGTCTTCGGCGTGACGAGCGACCGCTTTAACCGCTAGGCTACCGACCGCCCCTAGGGTGACAAGAGATCACCAATGACATGACAGATTAATTATAGTCATGTGAAAAAATCAGATGTTCTATCACTACTTTTGAGTAGCATAAATTGGGAAAAATATTTGTAAACCAACCAATCAAATACACATGGCTTTACAGGAAACATATTGCCAGTATATTGTAGGTGACGGAACAATACAGTGGTGAGTGTCAGAGTCTGTCTAACTGAACCAATGAGGTCTCCGTAGTCCCGATAGTGTTGACTTGTGGTGACCCCAACGTACTCCCCGGGTCACGGTGTTATGTAGGTTAGTGGCAGGGTACGAAAGCAGCATCTTATAACAGCAGATACACTTAAATAACATGTCACTCAAACCTTAACAGGGCCTCTGAGTCAGACCATGCTATACTGAGCATGTCTGGTACGGACGATATGTTTTCAATGCCTACTCTACTTTGTTCAGTAGATACATCCGAGAGATGATTATCGTATTTGCTTGAGTATAGTGCGCACCCCCCTCTAGTGGAGTCAGTATTTTGCTACTTCAACATGCATACTGTTGTTTGATGCCACACACTGTGATATTCCATCTATGATGGCAGCCAGTAAATAATCAAGTCTTGACCAGACAATCCAGTGATCGATGAGCGTGAGGAACGATCAATGCCATCAGGATGCAATGATCCATTTGGTCGCCTCTTACAATAGTATCGGTTGCTGGGGACCACACCTAACAAGGACCCCCCATGTGGTTTAGCAGACATGAATTTCCATACACCTTCATGTTCAAAAGTCTCAAGCTTAAGTTTGGGGTGGGGGTGAACAGAAGTGATTCCCAAAGTCAGCTTCCATGGGATGTAACTTCTTGTCAACATGGAGTGAGTGAGTGAGTATGGTCTTAGGCCCTTTCAGCAATATTCCAGCAATACACGGCGGGGGACACCAGAAATGAGCTTCACACATTGTACCCATGAGAGAATCAAACCTGGGTTTTCGGCACGACAAACGAACACTTTAACCACTGGACTACCCCACTGCCCGTCAATAAGTACAAGCTCCAAAGTGAGTGTAAAAGAAGTCAACTTGACTTGCACTGTCTCATCTCCATTGTGAAAAAAATTGCTTGGATTATCTTCCTAACTCTTCTGAACATCAGGATAACATAGGCTTAATCCTTTTTGGAGGTGGCGTACAGAAAGGTATTTATCCTACATTCACCATCTTCCGGAGGCAAGAGAGTTAACTGACTTTAAAAGTTTAGTTTCCACCCTTGCTGAACTAGGCTGGTATTATGGACTTAGATTTTGGCTGGGACCCATGAAGATCTGGGGTAGGATAGGTTTTGGCAACCCACTCTGACTGTAAAAGGCGACTATGCTTGTCGTAAGAGGCGACTAATGGGATCCGGAGGTTAGGCTCGCTGACTTGGTTGATGCATGTCATTGTATAACAATATAGATTTTGCTTATCGCACACATCATCTTGACTGGGCGCTGCTATTTTGTTTGAAGCAATTGCAAGTGATATGAGAGATGGAATCTGATTGGTCCATAGGAGAGGCTTAGAAGGGACATAATCGTAATAACCACTGGTGGTGCTACGATCAGACCCAGGAATTCCAGCAGAGTTCGGCAAGGGTGGAAACTGGACTTTTAAAGTCAGTTAACTCTCTTGTCTCGGGAAGATGACATTCACATGTTCAACTGTTTACTTACAACAAAAACATCTCAATGTTACTAGGGATACAATGGGAGTAGTAAGGAAGGACTTCAGGCATGCTTAAACCTATGTGATTCAAAACACATATATTGCTCTACAAAGCAAGCAGAATGTCCTACATCTGCAATTAACTCTCCTGTGTGTATTACAAAATACAAATGTCCTGGTATATATGAATAATGAGGCCCTGTTAAGGTTGTATGGTTCAAAACATATATTGCTTAACTACAGACACACCTGTTCCCAATTTAGCTAGCACTATCACTGGCAGATCGAACTTCCTTAATAATATATCTCTAGATATAAAACTTTGATTTTGGGTAGGAGCTTGGGGCGTCAGCTACAGGAGGCGTAGCGGCCACCATGCTCTCCTCTTTGATTGGCTCGAGGTTGGATGCTGTGCGGCGGACACCGGTTGCCGTGGCGACACTGGGGATGGTGGAAGATGGTGATGTGTCGCTCATGGTGCTGCGGTAGTCCTCCGTGGGGTGGTACAGCTGACGGTATTGCTGGTCCTCGCTGAACACCGACGTGTACGTCTGCAACAACGTTCAGAGGTCAACGTTAATTGTTAGAGATACACCACAGAGAGTCAAGAAGCCTGTAGATGTTTGGAGAAACAGTGGGTATAAGTATGTTCTAGTGCCTAATAGCCAGCTTGGGTTGTATGCTCCCCAGGAAGCTGAGAATGATTCTTGAGTGCACACTGATCTAGTGACTGGGGTAATAATAGGGCTTTTAGCATGCCCCCGAGTGGGAATATGTGCAGTATAAATAATAAATAAAAATAAAAATATAGTTTGGATTTCAACCAGATCCTGGCATGGCAAAGGGACGCAACTCTGCAAAAAAAAATCAGAAAACCATCAATGCACCATGATCAATGGAATTATCAGGTTCTTTTTTCATCTTTTCATTCATTGTATGTTTTGGTTGTTTTACACCAAAGAAGACATAAAAGAAGAGTTTGTGTAGTGTAAGAAGGAGATGCAGGAGTATGTGAGTCACTGACCCCGTCATCACTGAATGCCGGCAGCAGGTCCTCTCGGTCACTGGCCGAGGGCGGCGTGGCCTGGAACACGAACAGCATCACCCAGATTGGAACCAGCAGCTTCAGCATCTACAACAGATAGACATTCATATCCATAATTTAATCAACAACTAAATTACCTTGAGTGAAATATTATCAATGGAAAAAAAACATTTAACAATTTTAAGGACGAACATCTGTATAACATTCACTTCATGTTTTCATAATAAAAGGGTTAACAGCACCAACGGAAGTTGTGACACAAACCTTGTGATAACTCTTAATATTTCATAATTATCCAAGCAGAGTAATGGGAAAAACAATTCAATATTGCAGCCATGATTAAAAACAGATTTTAATTCTGTCAACAATGGTAAGGGATACAATTGCTGGGATCATACATGCAAAGTTTCAGCTTCACAGGTCTTGCGGTTTCAGAGATATCGAAAATGTAAAAGTTTATAACACACGGGCAACGCACAATGTGCCACAACTTCAACCTTTCAGGGTAAATGCAGATCTACCACATCCATGAAACACATGACAGATCCTGGATTATTATAACGGCAAATCTACGATTGAATTCCACAACCAGCACATCCTGGCGTATGTAAGGGATGCAACTCTGCACAGCAAAGTGCAACACCTTGGATTATGGGGCCACATGTGCCTCCCTAAATCTGATAAGTACTCATATCATCATGTCACATCACCAGGACATCATGTAGCCAAACATCACCAGGACATCATGTAGCCAAACATCACCAGGACATCATGTAGCCAAACATCACCAGGACATCATGTAGCCAAACATCACCGGGACATCATGTAGCCAAACATCACCAGGACATCATGTAGCAACACGCCAGGACATCATGTAGCCAAAAATCACCAGGACATCATGTAGCCAAACATCACCAGGACATCATGTAGCCAAACATCACCGGGACATCATGTAGCCAAACATCACTAGGACATCATGTAGCCAAACATCACCAGGACATCATGTACCCACACACTGCCAGGACATCATATAGCCAAATATCCCCAGGACTCCATGTAGCCAAACATCACCAGGACATCATGTAGCCAAACATCGCCAGGACATCATATAGCCAAACATCACCAGGACATCATGTAGCCAAACATCACCAGGACATCATATAGCCAAACATCACCAGGACATCATGTAACCAAACATCACCAGGACATCATATAGCCAAACATCACCAGGACATCATGTAGCCAAACATCACCAGGACATCATGTAGCCAAACATCACCAGGACATCATGTAGCCAAACATCACCAGGACATCATGTAGCCAAACATCACCAGGACATCATGTAGCCAAACATCACCAGGACATCATGTAGCCAAACATCACCAGGACATCATGTAGCCAAACATCACCAGGACATCATGTAGCCAAACATCACCGGGACATCATGTAGCCAAACATCGCCAGGACATCATATAGCCAAACATCACCAGGACATCATGTAGCCAAACATCACCAGGACATCATGTAGACAAACATCACCAGGACATCATGTAGCCAAACATCACCAGGACATCATGTAGCCAAACATCACCGGGACATCATGTAGCCAAACATCACCAGGACATCATGTAGCAACACGCCAGGACATCATGTAGCCAAAAATCACCAGGACATCATGTAGCCAAACATCACCAGGACATCATGTAGCCAAACATCACCAGGACATCATGTAGCCAAACATCACCAGGACATCATGTAGCCAAACATCACCGGGACATCATGTAGCCAAACATCGCCAGGACATCATATAGCCAAACATCACCAGGACATCATGTAGCCAAACATCACCAGGACATCATGTAGCCAAACATCACCAGGACATCATGTAGCCAAACATCACCAGGACATCATGTAGCCAAACATCACCGGGACATCATGTAGCCAAACATCGCCAGGACATCATGTAGACAAACATCACCAGGACATCATGTAGCCAAACATCACCAGGACATCATGTAGCCAAACATCACCAGGACATCATGTAGCCAAACATCACCAGGACTCAATGTAGCCAAACATCGCCAGGACATCATGTAGCAACACGCCAGGACATCATGTAGCCAAACATCCCCAGGACATCATGAAGCCAAACATCACCAGGGCATCATGTAACATCACTCACAAGCTACTATCACCAGGTTGGCACCTGATTGGCTGGCCACAATCAACTAGCAGGTACTCACCGTGAAGACAACGAAGATTGGGGAGTACAGTTCCTGAGTGTAGAGCTGAAACCATGGAAACGGACTTTACAAGCCGTATTTCAACAAACAATTGATCAGAACATTTCAGTAAGACCTTGTACAGGCTTAGTGTTCAAAATTGAAAAAAAACATATTTGTATATAGCATTAATTTCTTAACAGTATGGTCAATGTGGTGCTTACATCTGCTTACAATGTTATTGAACGACAAGGAAATTTGGAAATTGGAATTCCTTCTTCTCTACTTCATAATGTTCCAGACTTAAACAATATTAACAATAAGACATGTAAACTACTCACAAATATTGCACTGCAACCTTTGCTTTCATCTCCAACTGAAAAGAAACAGTGAGATCATTGTGAACCTGTTGATTTGATACAAGGTTTGATACAAGTACTTACTTGCAAATTAACAGATGATGATTGTTGTCTGTCAGTAATACATGTGTCTGTATCTGTCTGTCTGTCTGTCTGTCTGTATCTGTCTGTCTGTATCTATCTGTCTGTCTGTATCTGTCTGTCTGTATCTGTCTGTCTGTATCTGTCTGTCTGTCTGTATCTGTCTGTCTGTATCTGTCTGTCTGTCTGTCTGTATGTATCTGTCTGTCTGTCTTTATGAGTATTATTATGGTAGATATTCAATATTCCTATCAATTTAAACTGCATGTTATCATTATGTATGTAGAAAACACTAGAATTGACAGACAGCAAGAGCTTTCTTCTTAAATTTGCATAAATATTAATTTTAAAAAGAATCATCTAAAAGGTGATGACTTATATATGTGTGGGAGAATAAATGCAATACACCAGCATGGACTTACTGATCTGGAGAGTGACGTCATAGATGAACCCAACAAGGGCGGATATCTCAAACACCACGATGATGCTGAAAGTAACAGCAGGACACCAGTGAGTGAGTGAGGGAGGGAGTGAGGGAGTGAAGGGTCTTAGCGATTTAAGTCATGTCCCAGTGTGCCCGATGGATATGTGAGGAAAACAAGAACGGATGCAGGCCCTAGACATATACCAGCTCGAAAGCCACCAACCGAGCAGATAGGGGCCTTTAGTATCAATTTTGAATAAATCAGAAATATTAACAATTATCATAAATAAATACAATGGACACAAACAACAGTATGAGTGGAGACTATATAACTAAACAAAACTACTTCTTTTGGACTAAAACCACTCTACTTGAATTAGGATTTTGAGACATTTATAACTTATTTAAACACCTTACATACCAGCCACAAGCTAAAGCTTCTGTTGATGGTACCCCATCCAACAAACAGTACCTCCATCCAACATACAGTACCCCCATCCAACATACAGTACCCCCATCCGACATACAGTACCTCCATCCAACATACAGTACCCCCATCCAACATACAGTACCTCCATCCAACATACAGTACCCCATCCGACATACAGTACCTCATCCAACATACAGTACCCCCATCCAACATACAGTACCCCCATCCGACATACACTACCTCCATCCAACATACAGTACCTCCATCCAACATACAGTACCTCCATCCAACATACAGTACCCCCATCCAACATTCAGTACCCCCATCCAACATACAGTACCTCCATCCAACATACAGTACCCCCATCCAACATACAGTACCCCCATCCAACATACAGTACCCCCATCCAACATACAGTACCTCCATCCAACATACAGTACCCCCATCCAACATACAGTACCCCCATCCAACATACAGTACCTCCATCCAACATACAGTACCCCCATCCAACATACAGTACCCCCATCCAACATACAGTACCCCCATCCAACATACAGTACCCCATCCAACATACAGTACCTCCATCCAACATACAGTACCCCCATCCAACATACAGTTCCCCCATCCAACATACAGTACCCCATCCAACATACAGTACCCCCATCCGACATACACTACCTCCATCCAACATACAGTACCTCCATCCAACATACAGTACCTCCATCCAACATACAGTACCCCCATCCAACATACAGTACCCCCATCCAACATACAGTACCCCATCCAACATACAGTACCTCCATCCAACATACAGTACCCCCATCCAACATACAGTTCCCCCATCCAACATACAGTACCCCATCCAACATACAGTACCCCCATCCAACATACAGTACCTCCATCCAACATACAGTACCCCCATCCAACATACAGTACCCCCATCCGACATACAGTACCCCCATCCAACATACAGTACCTCCATCCAACATACAGTACCTCCATCCAACATACAGTACCCCCATCCGACATACAGTACCCCCATCCGACATACAGTACCTCCATCCAACATACAGTACCCCCATCCAACATACAGTACCTCCATCCAACATACAGTACCTCCATCCAACATACAGTACCTCCATCCAACATACAGTACCCCCATCCAACATACAGTACCCCCATCCAACATACAGTACCTCCATCCAACATACAGTACCCCCATCCAACATACAGTACCCCCATCCAACATACAGTACCCCCATCCAACATACAGTACCCCATCCAACATACAGTACCTCCATCCAACATACAGTACCCCCATCCAACATACAGTTCCCCAATCCAACATACAGTACCCCATCCAACATACAGTACCCCCATCCAACATACAGTACCTCCATCCAACATACAGTACCCCCATCCAACATACAGTACCCACAGTACCCCCATCCAACATACAGTACCCACAGTACCTCCATCGAACATACAGTACCCCCATCCGACATACAGTACCTCCATCCAACATACAGTACCCCCATCCAACATACAGTTCCCCCATCCAACATACAGTACCCCCATCTAACATACAGTACCCCCATCCAACATACAGTACCTCCATCAAACATACAGTACCCCCATCCAACATACAGTACCCACAGTACCCCCATCCAACATACAGTACCCACAGTACCCCCATCCAACATACAGTACCCACAGTACCTCCATCGAACATACAGTACCTCCATCCGACATACAGTACCCCCATCCAACATACAGTACCCCCATCCAACATACAGTACCCCCATCCGACATACAGTACCCACAGTACCTCCATCCAACATACAGTACCTCATCCAACATACAGTACCTCCATCAAACATATAGTTCCCACAGTACCTCCATCAATCATACAGTACCTCATCCAACATACAGTACCCCCATCCAACATACAGTACCCCCATCCAACATACAGTACCTCCATCCAACATACAGTACCTCATCCAACATACAGTACCCCCATCCAACATACAGTACCTCCATCCACCATACAGTACCCCCATCCAACATACAGTACCCCCATCCAACATACAGTACCCCCATCCAACATACAGTACCTCCATCCAACATACAGTACCTCCATCCACCATACAGTACCTCCATCCAACATACAGTACCTCCATCCACCATACAGTACCCCCATCCACCATACAGTACCCCCATCCAACATACAGTACCTCCATCCAACATACAGTACCTCCATCCAACACACAGTACCTCCATCCAACATACAGTACCCCATCCAACATACAGTACCCCCATCCAACATACAGTACCTCCATCCAACATACAGTACCCACAGTACCTCCATCCAACATACAGTACCCCCATCCAACATACAGTACCCCCATCCAACATACAGCATCCTCCCTGCTACTAAACATTTCTAAACATTCTTGAGCCATCTGACACTGACTTATCCAAATGCTTACCAATAGAATTTGATTCCAAATTTCGGATCCTTATTTTATGTAGGTATTTGCTTGATTTTTTTAAGTAACCATGAGAGGGTAGATGGATACAGCACTATATTATTTTAATAATGTACGGTCCACAATGATAGAAAATGTATTATCTGGATGACATTGAAGTGAATTGGGTTTTACCCCACTACAATAACAGCAGCTCAGCTCACGTTGGAGGAACCCCAATGTTCACAGATCACAGAGCTTCACCACTTTGGTTTAACCTGCTAGCACAGGTACATAGTCGACTGAAACCCAGGACTTGTGGATCCTGGTACAATCAAGGGACACTACTCTGCACAGCAGGGCAACTGTGCACCCTAAGATGGTGGAGAGAGTTTATTTCTCCACTGAATGAGGTACCCACCACCAGAGGTCTCTCTTCTGTGTCCATCTGACGGAGTCGAGGGTGCTGATTTCGTTGAGACGTCGTGTGATGTAGAACCCAGCCACGGCAAACAGCTGCACGATGACAAACTCCGCGGCCGACAGCTCCAGCCAGTAGGGCTCTGTACGGAGAATGTCAGACATACACTTGACTCAGAGTCACCATATGTCTTCTAATTCATAGACGCCCTAGTTCCTTTATTTTATATATTTATTTCCAGAACAATGTCTAATATACACTAGAATCAAAGACACCAAACTGCCTACTTTACACCCGATTCATTTAACTCAGAGATGAAGTTTTCTCAAATTCAAAGATGCAATATTCCTTCTAATTCAGAGATACCATATTTCCTCTAATTCACAGACATAGTATTTTCTCTAATTCAGAGATACCATATTTCCTCTAATTCACAGATATAGTATTTTCTCTAATTCAGAGATACCATATTTCCTCTAATTCAGAGATACCATATTTCCTCTCATTCAGAGATACCATATTTCCTCTAATTCACAGATATAGTATTTTCTCTAATTCAGAGATACCATATTTCCTCTTATTCACAGATATAGTATTTCCTCTTATTCACAGATATAGTATTTTCTCTAATGCAGAGATACCATATTTCCTCTAATTCAGAGTTACCACATTTCCTCCCATCTTACACTCGACACCACTGACGCAGTGGATCAACTCTACCCAGCATGCCCTGGGGCCGGGCTGCAGCAGCAGACTTACGCAGGCACTCTATGTGCGTAGACTGAACGTTGATGATGCCCAGCGCGGTGATGACGGTGAAGTACACGCACGCTGCCATCAGAAATGGAGTCAAGAATCTGAAACATGGAAGCATCGATGATAAAATACTCTCCAGGCCTTAAGCCCACCTACTGATGCAAACTGAGATATTGCAGCACAGGAATTACGTCAGTGAAAAGAGAAATACGTACCTACATACATCATTAGCACAGGATTGTCAAGGAACATAATCCTTCCTGCTTTTGGCGAACATGTTTCCATACTGATGCCAAAAACATGGCTAGAGTGGACAAATCCCAGACAAATGTCAGTAGACAAAGAGTTGGACACTGAGAGTGACTGAGTTGAAGTTTAAGCCACTATGAAAGACATCTTACAGGGATGGAAATTAAACTAGACCATCCACTAGTCTGAGTAGTGAGATATAGCAAAGGGCCCCCGGAGCCCCAGAAATTGTACAAGCCCTCTAGATACATTCATAAATCTGGGCTAGTGGTCTGCTTCTAATTTCCATCCCTGACTTACCTCCCCTGTGCTATAGTTCTAGTGTACTAGATGTCGGCTCAATAGCGCTAGTCCATTGAGATACCAAGCTGCAGTTTAACATGGATACCCCACTCAGACACAGTATGCTGACTTTGAGTCGACCAGTCCTTGTTTTATCCCCTTAATGCCAAGTGCCACACAGGGTGTCACAAGTAACATCTTTAAGGGATCGGCTTTTTGGTCAGATGCCCTATCCACTGGACTATGGAGGTGGATGACTAGAGATGTTCACTCACAGTGAGTGAGTTGAATTTTATGCAACTTTGAATAAACTCTTACCTCTTTGCTATCTTCTCCCTTCGTAGAGCCCTGGTAGCCAGTGTCCAGTAGAAGTGGCACATCACCAGGAACTGGAGGAGCTTCAGCCACTGGAGCACGAAGTCCAGCTGAGCAAAGCCACCCAACACCCAGTGGACACCTCTGTGTAGAGAGAACATACTATTGATGCAGCTACAACTACATCGTAGACTAGTCTCAATCTTGGTAACACCCGCCCAACTCCCAGTGGACACCTCTGTGTAGACAGAACACACCATTGATGCAGCTACAACTACGTCGTAGACTATTCTCTATTTTGGTTACACCTGCCCAACTCCCAGTGGACACCTCTGTGTAGACAGAACACACCATTGATGCAGCTACAACTACATCGTAGACTATTCTCTATTTTGGTTACACCTGCCCAACTCCCAGTGGACACCTCTGTGTAGACAGAACACAACATTGATGCAGCTACAACTACATCGTAGACTATTCTCTATCTTGGAGACACCCGCCCAACACCCAGTGGACACCTCTGTGTAGAGAGAACACACCATTGTGCAAAGACAACTACATTGTAGACATACAAGAAGACTAGCAGACTAGCCCTATGTGTCAGTAAGAAGCCCTATCCTAAGAGAGTAGTAGACTCCTACTACCCCCGACTACAGCAGATCAACCATCCCCATGTGGCAGCAAGTTGAGTAAGAAGTCTTACCCCAGGAGACATTCCAGAGAAGCACAGTAGAAGATGATGTACTGATGGCAGGCCTGGTGCTGTACCATGTGGAGCTTGGCCACCTTCATCACACACAGGAACGCCGTGATCACCGCCAGCAGGGTCAACACACTGTTCCTGTAGCAAATCATAGACAATCATTATGTTCATCACACACAGTCAAGAAGCAGCCAAGCACCTATTTATGACATCCTGACTGATCAAGGGAGACAACTAGTATCAACATACAGCACTGGCCTGATGCAGGCAACAGGCAGGAAACTGCCAAGCACCTGTTTATGACATCCTGACTGATCAAGGGAGACAACTAGTATCAACATACAGCACTGGCCTGATGCAGGCAACAGGCAGAGGAAGCTGCCAAACACCTGTTTATGACATCCTGACTGATCAAGGGAGACAACTAGTATCAACATACAGCACTGACCTGATGCAGGCAACAGGCAGAGGAAGCTGCCAAACACCTGTTTATGACATCCTGACTGATCAAGGGAGACAACTAGTATCAACATACAGCACTGGCCTGATGCAGGCATTAGGCAGGAAACTGCCAAGCACCTGTTCATTACATCCTGACTGGACCACTAGTATCAACATACAGTACTAACCTGATGCAGGCAACAGTCTGGAAGCTGCCAAGCACCTGTTCATGACATACTGACTGATCAAGGGAGACAACTAGTATCAACATACAGTACTAACCTGATGCAGGCAACAGTCTGGAAGCTGCCAAGCACCTGTTCATGACATACTGACTGATCAAGGGAGACAACTAGTACCAACATACAGCACTAACCTGATGCAAGCAACAGTCTGGAAGCTGCCAAGACATCCCACCACCATTATGTCTGTGGGGGTCGAGGTGTTGCTAGACTGGTTGCCAGGCGTGGGCGATGATGGAGACACTGTTGTGGCCATGACTGTCAGGACCGTGGAGATTGGTTTGGCTGTGTCGGCACTGTTTAGTCTAGGACATCACTGATGATGACCTTACATCTCGCTGATGACCTGTATCACCTGTAACATGTTCAGGTCACAATTAGACAAAAGGGTCTGCAGCTATCCTGAAGTCTGCCCTGTTCTGGCTCCAATGACTGAGTAGTGTCAGTGACAAGCCAATATCAGTTGTTTTGTGTTACTATTCCTCAGGTCATCTGAGAAAAGTCAAAAAGATAAATCATTGTGAATTTGTAGCTCATCATCAATTTTAGTTTTTTTCATTATCATTGATCAAATTTTAAATATTGTGAAACTCAAGTTACACTGGTCGTCAAGGGAACAAAATAAAATAAAATAAACACAGAAAATATTTAAACAGGAGTATATTTTAGAGACAAACGTGAGAGTTGGCTTCAACAATGCTTCGGAAACTGTCTCCATCATATAATGGCGGATCAGCTTAAGGTTTGAGAAAAGTGATGTAACGACAGGTCCTAGACACTTGGGCACAGATATGAGGCAGACAAACTAAGGGGGATCATAATTGTTGAGTGCAAAGGCCAGTCCACCACTTTGGAACAACATTCCTATCGACATCTAGAGCGCCAAAGTCATCAACAAATTCAAGGGATTGTTACAAACACATCTGTTCCAATCCCGCTCCAGCTTTCATGGACTCTTTGCTCACTGCCTGACTCACGCTCTGGAGCAGGTCCAATCTGGACATTGGCGCCTATGAATTTACATTTATTATTATTATCAGGGTAAATCTGAGATCTGAACCCATGATCACTGGATCCTTGCATGACTAAGGGAGGAAACAAACTGCAGTGCTATAGCGAATAAAGCTCTTTGAACTTACCAATAACACATACCGTATTCGACGTAATAAGCGCCCCGCTCTAATAAGCGCCCACGGCGATATTTGTTAATATACTGGCTAGTGAACAATCCTAATTAGCACCCCTTCCGATTGATAAATGTACACAAGGCTATTTATTCGTGCATAATACGTTTGTTATATGCACCCTTAATTATGGGCAATTAAATTCTGGAAAAATATATCTGTCGTTTATAAACATTTCAGCATAAACCACGAAATTTACGCTCTTTGAACTCAAAAATATATATTCTAATAAGAGCCCCCTATTTCTAATTTTGAGAGCGCCCTGGGCGCTTATTATGTCGAATACGGTATGTATCGTAATTTATATTTCCAGTGTAGAGCATTTATGTTAAGGAATGAAAATGAATGAAAAGGAGTGAAAATGAAAAGAAACACATTGATATAGACTTATTAACATGTATTTTATAAACAGTGAACATGGTAAATAATTGTTGTTTTCTTACATTCCATTCAAATTTATCCTACATATGGCACCAGTTTTCTCAGACATCACAGTAGCCACTTTTCTACTGCGGTGCCATCATTTTAATTTGGTATTATTAGCATGTTTCTTTACCTTATTCTTAGCCTATATAATAATGGCACTTTACAGTGTCTCGGGAATTGACTTATCATTTCAAACATACATTATTTTCCCATTATCCGATGTTTTCCAACAGACACAGTTCCTACATCAATATAACGCAGCAGAAACAACAGACTTCTACACTCAATAACCCACCCATCCTCCGCCTCCTGGTACAAGGGGAATGAGTCACATTATTACAGACGGAACGAAGCATGCTGATACATTCACGTCTGTGTGATATTAAAATGAAATATTTGACAAACAATAACTATCATACATTCGGTAAAATACGTCTTACAAATGACAAAGAAACAACGGTTTTGCAGCACCAACTTTCTGATGCCATTGATGGGTCATTGACTTCACAAGGCTAGGTCATAGTACCCCAGGCATCGTAAACAAAGCGAAGGAGAACTGTACAATTGAAACGCGCCATACTTACTTCAACTTAAACAACAGTGTGTAAAACGTCCGTGTGCAGTCATATCATGCACAACGCACATTTCTGTTGCATGAACTCATGAGGTAAACACAGGCGGTCTCAGCATCGAAATAATTTTGTTATGGCAGGTGCTCTAAGGGAGAGAACTCTAAATATTAATTAGCGGTGAAGTTACGGGAATACCACTAAATATTTTGTCACTTGTTGTAAACTTTCTCATTTGTTTCTGAGTAAGTGAAAGATATTCATTTAAAAACAATAACAATATTAAATTTGGTACAAGAGCATATATTAGATATCATTGACAACCAAAAGCTTTTTCAAAGATGAGTTGAATTGATATTCTAATATGTCTTATCCAGACACGATTATACACAGACCGCCGTCATATAGCTGGAATATTGCTGAGTGCGGCGTTAAACAACACATAAACATAAACATAATATGTCTTGTACACACTCCCTATGATTACACAATTTCTTCAACTAATGATAATGTCTTTGGAAACAATACAATATTTTCGTTACAGTGTTCCCGTAAATATGACATGTTTTAGAGATAAAAACATCTCATGCAAGGTACTAAAATTATCGGAAAAAACCCAACCCAAACGAGTTGGAAAAATGGTTTCATGAAACGAGCCCGATAATTTGGTATTAGTCAAATAACTTGTTTTGATACGAATTGTGTGGACTGAAACGTCCAGCTTCTTATAAACATGTGACCAGTGCCGTCCCAATAACAGGAACTGAATTTGATATTAATTCCTCTTCCTGGTATGATTATCAATTAATTATCTTATATCAACAGAGGAATATTGACTTAGAAGTAACACGGAACACGTTGAACCCAGGGCAGGAAAATACCCGAATAAACCTAACAACATTTACAAGTAATGTGGCATTGGAGATTAAAAAAATATCGATTAATTTAACCGAATACCAGACTTGCTGTTGGCCGTTGTCAGTCTATGTTCTGACTTTGCAATTAGTGCCATGTCTGAAAATAAGACACCTCTCTTTAAATAGGGACAGTCCCGCGAAGATCCTGGTAAGAATCGGTGTTCAGCAACCCATATTTGTGTAAAAGGCGACAAACAGGATCGAGTGGTTAGACTCGCTGACTTAGTGAAACCATGTCATTGTATCCAAATTGCGTAGATCGATGCTCATAATGTCAATCACTGGATTTTCTGGTCCAGTCTTGGATATTTACAGACTGCCGTCATATAACTGGAATGTGGGACAAACACACCACAATCAGCCCGTTATCAGAAATGATTCCACAATGCTGAACACCCAAATGTATTTTTAAAACCCCGCTCATCCAAAAACAGCAGACCAAGTAGCAATATGCATTCGTTATAGTCTACTTCCGATCACGTTGCCATGGTTTCGTTTATTACAACAGTATTGACCCCGGGCTGAGTATTAAAAGAAGTACAAGTAAAGACACCAGTTAAAAGGATTTTGAGTGTGGATATTTTATGTCCGTTTCAATTGCTTTTCACAAGTGCGAATCACGAACAACACATGGAATGGAAATAGTAACTGTTTTCTTGGCTGCAGGTGGATGCAAGTTTTGTAAACAAAGTGTTTTCTCGCTGTATCGGCCAGTGCACCAACAGAACCGAACACGAAACATCATCAGTCTCCGGATGCCGTTCAATGAAACTGTAGGTGTACTGTCAGATGCATCTCGAGGCCCCACAAGGAAACTGTAGATGTACTGTCAGATGCATCTCGAGGCCCCACAATGAAACTGTAGGTGTACTGTCAGATGCATCTCGAGGCCCCACAAGGTAACTGTAGATGTACTGTCAGATGCATCTCGAGGCCCCACAAGGAAACTGTAGATGTACTGTCAGATGCATCTCGAGGCCCCACAATGAAACTGTAGATGTACTGTCAGATGCATCTCGAGGCCCCACAGCGAAACTGTAGATGTACTGTCAGATGCATCTCAAGGCCCCACAATGAAACTGTAGATGTACTGTCAGATGCATCTCGAGGCCCCACAACGAAACTATAGATGTACTGTCAGATGCATCTCGAGGCCCCACAATGAAACTGTAGATGTACTGTCAGATGCATCTCGAGGCCCCACAATGAAACTATAGATATACTGTCAGATGCATCTCGAGGCCCCACAACGAAACTGTAGATGTACTGTCAGATGCATCTCAAGGCCCCACAATGAAACTGTAGATGTACTGTCAGATGCATCTCGAGGCCCCACAAGGAAACTGTAGATGTACTGTCAGATGCATCTCGAGGCCCCACAACGAAACTGTAGATGTACTGTCAGATAAATCTCGAGGCCCCACAACGAAACTGTAGATGTACTGTCAGATGCATCTCGAGGCCCCACAATGAAACTATAGATGTACTGTCAGATGCATCTCGAGGCCCCACAACGAAACTGTAGATGTACTGTCAGATGCATCTCGAGGCCCCACAATGAAACTGTAGATGTACTGTCAGATGCATCTCGAGGCCCCACAAGGAAACTGTAGATGTACTGTCAGATGCATCTCGAGGCCCCACAACGAAACTGTAGATGTACTGTCAGATAAATCTCGAGGCCCCACAACGAAACTGTAGATGTACTGTCAGATGCATCTCGAGGCCCCACAATGAAACTGTAGATGTACTGTCAGATGCATCTCGAGGCCACACAATGAAACTGTAGATGTACTGTCAGATGCATCTCGAGGCCCCACAATGAAACTGTAGATGTACTGTCAGATGCATCTCGAGGCCCCACAATGAAACTATAGATGTACTGTCAGATGCATCTCGAGGCCCCACAATGAAACTGTAGATGTACTGTCAGATGCATCTCGAGGCCCCACAATGAAACTATAGATGTACTGTCAGATGCATCTCGAGGCCCCACAATGAAACTGTAGATGTACTGTCAGATGCATCTCGAGGCCCCACAACGAAACTGTAGATGTACTGTCAGATGCATCTCGAGGCCCCACAAGGAAACTGTAGATGTACTGTCAGATGCATCTCGAGGCCCCACAATGAAACTGTAGATGTACTGTCAGATGCACCTCGAGGCCCCACAATGAAACTGTAGATGTACTGTCAGATGCATCTCGAGGCCCCACAAGGAAACTGTAGATGTACTGTCAGTTGCACCTCGAGGCCCCACAATGAAACTGTAGATGTACTGTCAGATGCATCTCGAGGCCCCACAACGAAACTGTAGATGTACTGTCAGATAAATCTCGAGGCCCCACAACGAAACTGTAGATGTACTGTCAGATGCATCTCGAGGCCCCACAACGAAACTGTAGATGTACTGTCAGATGCATCTCGAGGCCCCACAAGGAACCTCTAGATGTACTGGTCGATTTGCATTGCCCATCGAAATGTATGGGTATAACTCTCAGTCAACACTAGGTAATCGTTTCGTTTATAACATGTGTCCCTCCACCTAAAGCCACCTAATTCCCCACGTTATTTGTAAGAAGACAGTCGTGGGGGACGATCTGGTAGCACTTTCTGAAGGATCCTTGGTAGTTTGTACATAGAATTCGTCACGGTGTCTAGTAGACAGCACACTAGATCATCACGCCCAATTTGTGAACTTCATCTTTGGTTTCCAGGCTGAGACTTTTTTCTGCAATAACGAAATTTATAAGCGGCTTAAGAATAGATTCGATCAATATTGATAATAGTATTTGTTTGCTTAACTGTACTGGTGTTTAATTGAACTGAGGCAGGATTTCTGAGAATAGTTTTGTAAAATTAAATTTAATAAAATTTAAAAAGACGAGGTACGGTAAATGGTCCTAACTGGGCAACTGGCAATGTTAAAAAAAGTTGAGTATTTGTCGTCTGCGTGAAGAGCAAACACTAGGCTCCACCACCGCCTCTCAGTCTTTCAACAACAAGGTATATCTAATGAAGTGAGAGAGTGAGTACAGTTTTACGCCGTTATTCCAAAAATATCACGACGGGGGGACACCACAAATGGGCTACACACATTGTAACCATGTGGGGAATCGACCCCGGTACCTCGGCGTGACGATCGAACGCTTTAACCGCTGGGCTACGCCACCGTCCCTCAATCTATAAACAACAAGAGACATCATTAGAAACTAGTTCATACCGAATCCAAATTAAATGCGGGCCTTGCTTGTATTTGATATTTCGAGTTATTTTACCCAAAACACATTGTCATATGTTTCACGTTCTTAGTGGCTAGGGCGGTTGAGTAGCCTAGTAGTTAAAACGTTCACTCGTCACGCCCAATGCCTGGTTTCGATTCCCTACATTGGTAAAATGTGTGAGGCCCCTTTCTTGTCTCCCCCGCCGTGATATTGCTGGAATGTTGCTGAAAGTTGCGTAAACCATACTCACTTATACTTCTGTGTGGCTGACGTATTGGCGACGTAACTTTAGATATCGACTCATCCACTTTTTGACACGGCTTGCGACACGCAGTACGGGAATTTACCCCCAACTCATGAATCACTGCGCCTAATTTCCCGATTTTACAAACCTTAAAAACGTTACTGTGTTTATACATTTATTTTAAGAAATACAATTGATCGTATTTTTTTCATATTGACTGGCTTTAAATTATTACAGGCAATGCATAACTATATAAGCGAAGTCTCTTGGTAATCATGCAGCCACTGTATGTGTCGTAGTGTATGTGTTTAGTTATATGGCAGTGTAACTTATTTTTAATAATGATTGTAACTGTATTAGTTTGTTTCTTTTGAGATTCAGTAGAAGTTCAGTGCATGGTAGTGGGACAATGATTAGTTGTCAGGAATGTAGTACTATTTAAGTACTATTTAATGTAAGCAGGGATGAGGAAGTTATATTTAGATGCTTGAATTATCTGTAAACTTCCGGAATGTCAAGTGTTGTAGAAACATGTGGAATATTCTGTTATGTTCTAGTGACAGTGGGAGGGTCTAGCACTGTGTGGAAAGTGCTAGAAGCTGGTAATACTCTATAGGTGGAGCTGGCGCGTGCCTGTCTAATCTCACATTTCATCTGACATTACATCAAGACTAGCTTTAATGTGAAGATCACATAATTGCTGTGCTGTGATTTGTAAACCTAGTTAATTGTGTAATACAATTGGTGATCGTGTACCATCTTA